ACAACGAATGGCTTTCGGTGTGAACAGAGAGTTGTCTCTAATCGGAGAGTTTGTCGTAATCGGGATCTGCTTCTTGTCGGCCATCGACTCGCCATTCAGTTGATTGTATTTCTTCACGTCTTCCGACTCATGGCTGTCAGCCATTGTCTTCTTATCGGTTCCACTCATTCGTCTCAAACCGGAGGAATCGTCAGAAGACATGCCCGCGTGTGGTATGAGATGACAATCCAATTGTCTTCAATCATAAGTCATATTGAATATTGAATTAATGGTTAAAATAAATGACAAAACATTTCAATATTATTGAAACAAATCACACAATAATTCTGTAATTCGTTCACAAATTATGTCTCCAATTATTGGCGATTCTTGGGATGAGTTGTTGTGATGTTTTGGGCCATCGCTTCACACCACTAGTGGTCACTCAAATATTGATTGCATTATATGACCACTATTTCAATGTTATATAATGGGAATGATGACCATGGTCATATAGTGATATAATGTCATCGATGGCTGCATTCAGTAATATTGGCACAAATAGTGATGTCATTTACAAAACAATCTCACATTTGTTTGCAAACACATCGAGTGTTAAACAGTAAACAGTGTTAACACATGTCCGCTATTATTGTGGTGTGAATTGAATGCAAACCATAAGTGAATTGTATTGTTGTCTATGAAATAGTGGACCGAAAGGAGTTCAGCGATGAGTCAAACGAACCGTCGATTCCTTCACCGAAATGTTCACAACAAACACAAGAAGACATTGAAATCATATTTGTATCAATTGTTTGGTTTCGTGAGAAACAAATGCTTTTCATTGGATATACTCTTCGATACAAAGCTATCGTTTGTAGTAATGATTGTTTTGTTTGGTTTCGAAACTTTTCTAAACATTTTCATTATAAATAGAGTTAAATGTAAGTGTTTTTGCAGTTTATTAAACATCTAGAATCTAGATATATAACATGTTAAAGTCCTAATCGCACAATTGATGAGTCCATATGTTTATGTATAAATTTATTATATTTGCATTGCTTTGAGTTGGGAAGTGATGGCACATTATTTAATACGTTTACTATTAATTTAATAAATGACATTGATCATATTTATAAGCAGTACAACTTGTGTAACCATACAATCTTTAATTACAGTATACGTGAATATGAGATTGATTTAGACAAACATGCTAGTTCTAGAATTAATATTGCTTATAAATTATATGTTTGATGTTGTGCACAGCATTGCATTTAATATAATTATTATATCAAAATTATAATTTACTAGAAGTATAAATGAATTTTAATGAATTTTATAAAATACGATCACAATTATAGCGCTTATTCTATAAAATACACACTTGTATTGATTTATGCTATAATTGACTACAATTACAGTGAACTTTGCATACAGTGTTAGCTAACTTAGAGCGTTGGAGAAGTTTTTAAGTCTATATAAACATATAGAATATTCACTATTATATAGAATGTGTTTTTCCACACCTATTCATTTACTTTATTGTTGTTACAATTCTTTAGTAAAATTTAAATCCACAATAAAATTAAGTATTTGGCTATTCTATAATTTTGATCAATCCTTTCTATGAAAAAATGGAAAATGCTAATATTATGTATGTACTAGCTTAATTGACAAATATTCCTATTGAACTTTAATTTAAATTTATAAAATCACAAATTACATAAAATTCCCTTTGAGTACTTTTAATAGGTGCATTTTGTTTTTATTGATCATCTACATTTTAGATTATAAAACAATGCTACTATTAAGGAAATTACTAAAATACAACATTTCACATACAGTAAAAACAACAATATATCCCAAACTGTGTTACCGTATATTTAATACTAAAAATATTAAAAAAGTATTATTTGATTATATTTTTATATGACTGACAGATACAGAGATTGATTGGTCGACATATGTAGAGCAGGTCCAGTGCTTCTTGAATGGCTCTCTCAACTACTCGGACATCAAGGGAGAGACGGGTCCTATTGTATACCCGGCCGGACATCTATATATCTATACAATACTCTATTACTTGACAAATAGAGGAACTAATATACTTTGTGCTCAATATTTATTTGCATTTATTTATTTGATTACATTATTCGCTGTCTTCAGAATATACCATAAAATGGATTCAAAAGTAAGATTTTTTACCACAAATGCCTAATCATTGAGTAAAAGATAATTGAAAATAAGATATTGAGAAATTGTGTGAAATGGGAGACTCGTCTGTGATTATACTGTAAATGCTGTTCACATTCTGATAGTTTGTGTTGATTTTAATCTTATATGAGACGAGCTTTTATTTCAATTTATTTTTTCTAACATTTTTGAGACAAAATTGGGTATAATTTGAGTTTAGAGCACAAATAATACATAGTTTAGGGCAAAATAATATGTTTTTGTTTGACTTTTTTAATTGTTAGTTGCATTATATACTTTATACAGTAATATTAGAGTTCAAAAAACTAACTTTTAATTATTACAGTAATTATCCAGATTTAGCATATTATACGAGACACTAATAGACAATTAATCGTTAAATACTACAGAATAACATGAATGTTCACAATTGAATGGAGGGATAGATTCAAAGCCAAATGATTTTGTATTTATTGTATAATAGAGAATATCATTTTGTAGGAAAGCAAACAAATAATATCATTCTATTATAGCTAACAATATTTAATTTCTCTGTATATAAAAGCTTTGATTCGTATGAAAGTTGTATTGATTTCGTAACAACTTATTGAACGAGAAATAAATTGATGTTTTGTGTCCAACAGTTACCTCCGTTTGCATTTGTGTTCATGTGTTGCACATCCTATCGAATCCATTCAATATATGTTCTTCGCTTGTTTAACGACACAATAGCGATGGCTCTCCTCTATATTGCTATCAATTTTTTTATTGACCGGAAGTGGACTTTTGGTTCTGTATTCTATAGGTTAGCACTGATTGACAACAAGAAAGATAACATGTTATAACATGTAATTTGTATGCCATATAATAGTATTGCCGTTTCGGTTAAAATGAATGTATTACTGTTCGCACCGGCACTTCTACTCCTACTACTCGAGACCAATCATATTCGCAATACTATTGCCAATATCAGTGTTTGCGCTTTTATTCAGGTATTTATTAGACTTTAATACTTGTTTTTAATACTTAAAATTGATATTTATAATGAAGATGTGAATACTTTATTTGTATAGTTAGCAATAGGTCTACCATTTCTATTAAGTCACCCGAAGTCCTATATATGGAATTCGTTTAATTTTGGTCGAGTGTTTGAACACAAGTGGACAGTCAACTGGCGGTTTGTTGCCAACAGTGTGTTTGTTAGTCATTACTTCCACATAACTCTATTAGCGCTTCATTTGATTGCATTATTGGTATTCTTTAGGAAGAGGTAAAATCAAACCAAAATAAAAAAGTAAAACATTTATTATGCAATTTATTGAACAACAGATACTTTAAGTGGCATAAGTGGCTCCCAATTGCGAGGCCTATAGTCTTATCTAATGATCGTATGTTTTGTGCTTATCTGATGTCCAAAATTAGTTAATTTAAATTTTGTTGTAATTTTGTTTTGTCTAATTGTGTTAAAGAGATTTTGTTGACTTTATTTACGGCAAACTTTATCGGAATGGCATTCTCTCGTTCACTCCATTACCAGTTCTATGTCTGGTATTTCCATTCCCTGCCATTCCTATTGTGGACAACAAGCTATTCACCAAAAACTAAGTAAGTTATCGACTCTTATGGATATAATAAGTGATTTGCGATAACAGATACAAAGAATGACCGCTAATGCGTTGAATTAGTTGTTGCCTAATCACTACAATAACAACACTATATTATATTTTTATATACATTTATATATGCTTTATATGTGATGTACTGAATAGGCTGTGCATTCTGGGACTCATTGAATTGTCGTGGAATACATACCCGAGTACTCATCTCAGTAGTGGACTCTTACATGTGGTTCATCTGATTATTTTGATTGGTTTGTGGAGAAACAAATCCATTTATGAAACTAAATCTATACAAAACATTAAAAATAAATAAAATTCTATTCAAAACTTGTTGTTTAGTATTTATTCTATTGATATTATATTAAAACAATTTTCCCTATAATTACTTTTTTGATACAATTATTTAACTTATTATTGAAAACAAGCAAAATATTTGGAAAGTTGTTGTTTTCATATGAATTGTTTTGAAGTAAAAATTGATACAAATATATTCGTGGAATGGTTGGAATATTTGCCAAAATAATTACATTAATGTAATGAAATTTTGTTACAGTCATTGGTATTGTTTAAAACGCCTCGAGATTTAGATATTTGATTCAAATTAAAAATGATTTTTAATGAAATATTTACCGATTATATTATAGGGCATAAAGTATTTTAAAACATTATTTTAAGTACAGTGTACCAGTTGTACAGTATGTTAGTTATGAAATGCCGACAAATTTATTTTAATGAAATTTTTTAAGTTAACTATTAAATTAAATAATTATTTGGGAAATAAATTGATTTTCTTAATTATAGTTGTAGTCCACAGTCTATTGTAAGCATAAATGCATTACTGTTTAACAATTCAATTGTAATTCTTAATTAAATTAGAGTAGTTTTATTAAGCGCTTTATTTACCATTTATGGGTGAAATTCAATAAAATTTGTATACAATAAGTTTGCAATAATTTATAAATATAGCAAATAGCAATAAAAATAAATGTGTCTAGTGGGTTTAAAATAGTTTACGTTTTAAAAAAAAATAATATTTAAAAATATTGTGATAAAACAGAATATAACGTAGGAAAACGTGAAATAATTTTATACTAATAAATTAATTTAGAGTAAAAGTATAGCCTATATTCAAAATTCACTTATCATTAATTTGTTTAGTTTGTCAGTTATTTAATCATTACTTAATGCGAACAACATTTTCGTGAGATATTGATGTTATATAGGATTTAAATTTCTTACGATAATCTCAATAAACAAATAAATTAAAAACTTTACCCCAAAAGCGTATATTTGATTAATTTTTTCACAATTAATCACATTTCATACAAATATGGTTAAAAATACGGTAACTATACAGTATATCTTGTATAGACTATACAGTATAGTTCATTAATATATTTTTTAAAACAAAATGTTGATATAAATCACGAATAAAAATTTATTAATTTAATTATAGATTAAATGGACGTCATATACTATATTATTTTTTAATCAAATTAAAATGAGATAGCTGCGATAGTGTGACGATTATAATATGTTTTAGTATTTTAAATATTAATAAATGTTTTCTATTTATATTTTGATGACAATCACTACATAAGGGATTCAGTAAAGTCTGAATCAATAGAAAGATTATTTTATTATCTAATATTTAAATCAATCAAACAAATTGAGCCCATCTTCTAATATATAGACAAATAGGAAATGATAAATGAATCCCAATTCAGACCAAACAGTATTCATATTAAATAATCTTGAGGTGAATGACGTTATTTGCATCTAATTAATCAAACAATAGATAAAACGAAAGTCACTTTTCAATATAAATCTGGTGGTAATTCAAGATCGCAATCATTTATATGAACAAAAAACGATGAGTTTGTAACAAAATAATGTAATTTTATAATTTGTTGCAATAATTTAAACTTGAATTTGACTTACGATTTGCGGTCTAAACAATTAAAATACAATTTAAAAACACCATGAGCTTTATATTAATTTGAATACAACTTTTCAAGTATAAAAAACTTATGTAAAATTAATTCATTTTAAAACCTAATGAGAATATATTAGAAATAATTCTAATCCTTGACATCATCTCAATGTTATGTATTGAATATAATACTCAAAAATGGGGACGTTTTAGAAGATCTTATAAAAACGTTTAATAAATTGGAGAAACTTTTTTAAAATTTAATAATTGTTTTGTTTGATGGGAATTGAGTTTATATTATTGATTACTGAAAGGGCTAAACATATATACATTATAAATAATATTGTTGTGCTATTTATTAGTTATAGAAAATACTTATTTAAGGCTCTCGGGAAAGTTATTGAAGGCTAATTATTTGATAGACTTCAATTCAATTAAAGCTTATTATCTAATAATCTATTATCCGCTGATCCGTGTCGTCGCTCGTGAGGACTACAGTATATTAGAGTATATTTATATTAATATTCAACAAATTGTGCACAATATATACACTGAGCTATAATTTGCATCCCTTATCACATCTACCAGTTGTACATTCCTTTTGTTTCCCAAACAACTATTACAACAATTCTTATTCTTTATTATTAATCCATTTGTTCATCAATTCTTGACATTTCTCTCGTATTTATAATTATTTTCATAAAATTCAAACTCATTTTGATTTGTCTTTTCCCTCAGCCAAACATTTTATCATTGTTTACGAGAACTCATTTAATCCAATAATAAGTAAATCATTTATTGAATTAAAACATATTTAAATGTATTTAAGAATAAAAGCATAAAAATAGTCATTTTTTGTGAAAACTTATTGTCAAATCCTTTTACAATTCATTAAATTCAAAAACATAAAGACTTATAATTTGTACTTAATTTTGGTTAAACACGAATTTGCGCCGACGTTAGGGAACTGTCGTTAACTTTGAACTTACATTATATTCTGTTTCCGAGTGTTTAGATTGGATGAGAGTGTGATTGCGAGGCAAACACCCAACTCAACCAACCACTGCACCCATCCCTATACTCTACCCCATATATAAGCACTGACTCCACCACCTCTTCCACTCGATTCAGTATTTGTTAAATTATAATCAAGTCTTTGAAGTTTCATTAATTTTCAAAATTCATTCAATTTGTTTCAACAATTGAAAGGTTTGTCTCATTTTTTACTTATATTGTGTATTAAGTTATCCATTCTTTCTAAAGCTGTAAAGAATAGATGCAAACGTTTTTGCAGTTTATATTAAATTTCAATTTAAATATTAATTTACAAATTATACTTATTAAATTTGCTAATTATCTATAAAGTAAAATGATAACTCTGTAACTTAATAGATTTACTTGAATTAAATTCTATATGTGTTCATACATTGGTTGAAATATTGCTGTTTGATTTAGAAATATGATAAAATAGTTTTAAACCTTTGGGTTCAATATATTAACATATTGTTTAAATTATGGGTTAAATCGTTAACTATAGTAAAGGAAACTAATAATAAATAACTTGTTTTTTCTTTAAATCATTTTTATCCTTCGAATTGTTTATTAATATGTTTTTATTTGCCTTAAAAACTAAATTATATTATCATTCAATGATATGATTGCATTAATTGTTGTGATCTTTTAAATAACATTGTGTTCTTTGAATACTATGTTCTTAATAAAAACTTCTTATATGTGGTTTAATTCAGGTTTTATTATAAATCATATAAAGTATATTAGTGCATTAAAGTATACAAATATTTTTTGTTAATTTCGTTTTAGTTATAGTAAAATTTCTTTTCTAGCTTTAATTTTTATAAAACCAATTTAAAATCGAAAAATATATGTTATTTGATGAATTATTTCATTTCTGTGTACGAATCAAAGTGTAATTATTTTAAATATTACTGTTTTTAGTAAATAATTTGCTTCAAAAACATTTGAAATTAATTTATTTCTCATTAATGTTTGCATTAATTTGAAGAAAAGTTAGAACATATGTTACAAAGATTTGATAAATGTTATAATAATGTACTAAATATTTCTCTAATGTCTAAAGTCTAGAATCTCTAGACAAATAAAAGCTTAATTATTAAATAACTTTTTTGATACCATTAATTATTAGAAGCATTATGATATAATTACATAATATAGGAATTTAATGCTGATAGTTTCTCAGTACATGCTCTTACTATTGATTATATTGGGATCATTGAAAAACTTATTTCTGAATCTTTAGGAAACATTGAATATTTTACTAAATCTTTTAAAGTGTTTTTACGATATAATTGTCATTCTATGCCATAAGTTTGATGAATACGGGTTGTGTTGAGAGCAATATGATAAATTTAATATACAGTAATTTATAAATAAATAATTTGTGGATTATTATATAAATTTTTCAATTATTATATCATTTATTTCTTATTTTAGAAATATTTATTTCTTTAATAAAATTGTAAGTTATTTATATAAATAAACGTTAATAATATAATTAGCATTGTTTAAATAGATCAATACTATTATTACACATCATTTTCTGGAGAAATATTTGGGAATTGTTTTCAAACAAATATTTCTGTTTGACGTAAATTCCCAAATTAACTATAAATGTTTATATTATATATTAATTATGAAAACAGTATTAATACTGTCATAACTTTTGATATTAAGCTATTGTAAGATTTTATATGAATGTTGCAAAGAGTATGTCAAGAATACAACAGTTTATTTTATTATTTTTAGTTTTCTAATCATGTATTAAAGTTATAACGCTTTGTTGCAGAGATATTTCGGAAACTCAAGTATTGACGGATAGAAGATTTGGTTATAATTTAATTACAAATTTATAATTATATACAAAAATCCTGTAAACGCTTATAAGATGGCATCCATTTCACTAAAGACATCGATTTGGTCTCTTATTCTTTCACTAATGATCTACACATTGAGCGCCAATAGTATAGGAAGTGATGGCAGTGACGGCCGCAACAAAATGTCGTTAACAATTCAGGAGCCGATGGTTTGTT